GCTGCTACAGGTTTGGGTGCCACCACATGGAATCCAAGGGTTTTGGCAAAACTCCCGCCTACTTCGAATGGAAGGGCGTTTCGTACCTGAAGAAGATGTAATATTAAAGTATGTCCCCTGACCTGAACCCACTCAATTACTTAGCTCGGGCGGACTTCAAGAGGGTGGTCTACGGTGGCGGAGAAATCGACGATCTCGCTCAACTCCGGTACCCACTCACTTTCGCGCGGCCGAATCTCTCGATGGCGCTCCTCCAGAAGGCTGTGGCGGAGTATCATTATAGTATTTAATGTGCTCTTTAATATGGTAGTAAAAATGTCCGATAAAAATTTAATAAAGTGTAACTTATAGCGCCTTGAAAGTCATGGAGGCAAAATGACTTTTTTTTGGCCCCCCTGTATATACATTCCTCAGCCCATCAAAATCTTATAATATAAATAAAATAATATAAATAACTATAAAATAACTGATAAAATATTATAAGATTTCACTGGAGAAGGCTCCTCGATTTTTGGAAAGTTAGAAATCTTATTTTTCTCCATTTTTTTCGATTTATTTTATGTCGTTCTGGAAGGTATGAAGAAACGGTTGAGAGTGATATACGATGATGGATTCTCATCGAAACGTGCGATAATCGCCTGTTATATCCACTTCAGAAAAAAAAAAAAAAAAAATAAAAAAAAAAAAAAAAAAAAAAAAAAAAAAAAAAAAAAAACAGGAAGTTATTAATAACGTGTCTCTCCGATATAGGTTGTTGAGGTATACGGGGCGGCTGATGCTATGACAATCAAGCCATATTTAACCACTGCGACCTCTACCAAACACAACGTGCGGCGAAATCCACGCTTCTGGAGTGAGGCACCAAAGTACAATCTCGCGATTTAGGTTGCGTGACAAGCGCCGGCCGAATATGATACATTAAACTTTTTGACAGAAGAGTGTTGAGCCTTTAATGGATACTCAATTTTCCAATTATACCTCAATTTTCTGCAATCGCAGGCATGTCTGCTTGAGAGCACACTGAAATGCAACAGGTAGCAGTGCCAGAACAACGCTCGCACAGCGAAATAAGAAGTCGTTTTGAAAGGATTACACTGCCATACCTGAGGCAGAGTGGCGTGGATTCGACCTGGCACGGAATTGGTTTATGTGAATATTCAGTCTGGGAAACTGTCATCTCGTCTGTGTTGGAAGCGACACTGCCAACAGTTGTGTCAAGATGAATATGTCGCACAAACATAGACACTTCAGTTTTAACTGGACACGCCTACCGATTCAAGGGATTTCGAGTATATGTGAGCTCGAGCGTCCTATATCATGTTCGACCTCACATTAAAATAGCGATGACCACCTTCTTTGGAAAGTTGGACTATAGCTCAACCGTGCAGGCCAAGCATTTGTCTATCATTTGCTATCTGTCTGTCGAAGAATGAAACCACCTGAACCGCAGAGTTCATTTTGAATTTTTCAATCGCCAGCTTAAATCATTGGGCCCGAACCATCCGGCTCTCCGCTCTCCAGAGCGGGAGTCGCTGCTGAATCCGGGACGGGGTCGCATTCGGCCCCTCGGGAGTGGCAGGTCGTTGCATAGGTCAGTACTCATTACAGCAGCGATGCAGCCCGCAGAATGGGTGGTTGTTTGGAAATGAAGACGATTTCATGGCGCATTCCATGGATTCGTTGATCATCACCTTGTGGGCAGTTCCCATTCACCACATGAGGAGAAGGTGTATGGAAAGCCTATCGAGCTTTCTGCATGGAAATGTGGGCTTTATAGGGGAGTACTTCATACTGCAGCTGAAGCTGCCTTTCGAAGCAAAATCCGCCAAATTTTCGCTATATTAGCTACAGCGAAGATATTGTACTCAATGGAGGAGAAACTCGTCTTGTTCCCTTTGCCGTGTAAATCTCAGTTCTATATTATGTCCTAACGAAGTGTATCCATTGGAAGCTCGCGACCGCCAAAATCCTGGTCAGAAAAGCCGTCATGCAAGCTGGATGAAATCCGTTGTGTATAGCGCCGCGAAGGATGGTTTCTGAATGAAGTTATACTATGTGAATGCAATGGGCTGATAGCGCTCCAGTCTCAATACGCGATGCAGCTGCAGTACCCTCAATGCCTCGGCTTCGTGTTGTTTCGGAGAGTGTCATTGTAAGATTTTCCAAAGCTTCACATTGTGAACTAACCACTTCTGAGAAACTAATCTCTTCGTTCAGTGCTTTTCTTTGACTGGTTTCGTAAATGTCCCTGATACTCAGATACTCATTCGGTAAAATTCGCATTACACACAATATATACAGGGGGGGGGCAAAAAACACTTTGCCCGAGGCACATATCAGTAAAGAATACGCAGCCCAGAGAGAAGACGTGGATACGAGTACCAGGGCGGAAGATACCCAAGATGTTCCTCGATAAGCAGGAGCAGGCTCTCGCCCATCACCTTCATGTACACCAAAATATGAAGTCATCTCCAATCGCAGCCTGACTGGAGAAGGCCTATGGAATTCACGTCACCTCCAAACAGCTGCGAAACTTCTTGTATGGAGTCACCCATGGACAGCTACCTGGAGACCGGCACTCTTGATCTGGAAGCGAGCAGCTTCCAAAACATCGCTATGGTCCAGTACGTCATCTTCACCACAGTCGTCAAGGCGCGAGTTGACGTTATGGACCGGAAGTTCCTATGGAAAGACCAATATCTACATCCAACGAGAAGAAGACTGGGATCATTATAGATGGGTTGCTAACAAGTTCGAAAAGAAACTCCTCAAGTATAACCTTTCCGTAGAAAAAAAAGTGATGGAATCGAATGACAGAGCATCTTTCTACAAATTCTTGAATTTTCGCATGAATCGTAAAGAGGGAGTCAGTGTACTGAAAAGGCAGGATGGCACAGTGGTGGTATCAGATAATGATAAGGCGGAAATGCTAGCCGAGGTTTTTGAAAAAGTTTATGCTAAGCAAAACGTAAGCATCGGTTCTCAACCTGTCCACGGTAGCATCCCTCATATGGAGGACTCTGTTTGGTTTAGCCGTCATGAAATTCTTGAATCATCTCTAAATGGCGTAATTCTTCTTCTGCTACCCCAGATGGTATCCCATTCCTTTTCATAAAGAAGATGGCTGATGTCATTTCAGCACCACTTGAATTCCTTTTCAATTTGTTGTTTTTCCAAGCTGTTGTTCCGCGTAGCTGGCGGCATGCTTATGTCATTCCAATCAGGAAGAAACCTCCATACTGTGATCCTGAGAACTATCACGTCAGTGTTTTGCAGACTTTTTGAAAAAATACTCAAGAAGGTCATTGTTCGTCACATAACATGTAACCAGGTCCTATCCGACCATCAACATGGGTTCAGAGCAAAAAATCTACAGTAACGCTCATGTTGGAAGCAATGAACGATTGGACATCAGTATTGGATAGAAAAAAAGTGTGGACGTCATTTACACTCTACTTCGCTGCGGACGGTTGGGCGTGTCAGCCAGTATGAGTGTGTCACCCTCTTTGAGCTGTTCTCTGCCTTCTTGTTGAAACGGGCATGCGACAAAAAGCAGTAGAAAACAAGTAATACGAAAGGTATGATACAGTATTGTCATTTGCTCGCTTGAACAACTCGTGGAGAACGAGTTTTGGCACCGTGCCAAACGCAGCCGCACGAACACGCACAACCGTCCGCAATGAACTACACTATATTTTGATTTCCAGAAAGGCCTCTGACAAAGTCTCCCATCCAATCTTATTCACATAAACTCGCACGAATCGGGGTTCATGGAAGGATAGTCAAGTGGATTGAAGAATTTCTCGCTGATCGCACCTTTCAAGTGTTGGTTAATGGTCATGCTTCCACGGTCCGACATGCTAGCAGTGGGGTTCCCCAGGGAAGTGTCTTGCCCCCCCCCACCCCATTTCATTTGATATTTTACATATTTTTGACCTAGCAGCTTCGATCCAAAATGTTGGTGTAAAGATAAAAATGGTTGCTGATGACCTAAAGATATATAGCATCGTGGGGGACTCCGCTGAATCTCAACTCAGAAAGCAGTAGATGCTATCGTGGACTGGTCCAATACCAATAGGCTCCCCTTAAGTGCTGGCAAAACTACAAAGTACTTGAGGATGAGCAAGCTTATGCCCTTCCCGGTTTCTTTCTATAGATTCATAATAAAAAGACGGTGGTTCATTATCTTCGCGGTGTCAAATAGTGTTGTCAGTGGTTTCAGTTGATGATTTTGTTGTGTTTCTTATATTAGATATTAGGTTGGCGGGAAAGTTCTGTCACATTTTCAAACTAGGCTTTCTTTTTATAGAGAGGAGTGTAAGATCAAAATTGTACAGCAATGTTACTGCGGGGTCCTTGCCACTGTTTGAGCACCTCATGGATGCCATCGCTTCACTATGCAGGGAGACACGACGCAAAGTTGGACACCATCTCAACCTCGACTTGAACTTGGGTTATGGAGGTTTTCTCGTCCGCATAACGATCGATTAC